AAAATTAATTGATCAGCAAATAATTTCAGAATATAGGCTAATAAGTTTAGATGTTGTGTGTATGTAGACAAACATTCATGTTCATGCAGCTATTCAGGTTCTAGTAGAAACTCTGGAGATGACACAAGGAGTAAGGTTTAGCAAAGTGTTTATAAATAGAATTCTTAACTTATCCACGAGTAGCACCTATTTTACCTTTGATGGTATGTTATGTGATTGCGATTGGATTTGGCTTAGCTCCAAACTTAGCAAAACTTGAGAAACGCTTCCTGAAAGAGGCAATACTAACCCCTAAATTGTTGGCTAGATATGTTGAAAAATAGTGTGACATCTGGCTTCATGGTAAGGAAGGTTGAAATAGTTTCCTACTTTCACATAACCAACATAAAAGTAACACTGGATTCACATTAATAGAGAATAGGTTGTTATTCATTTTGAATGTTCTGATTATGAGAGAAGAAGGTAAGTTAGATAGAGATGTTTATAGGAGGCCAACATATGTTGGCTCTTTTCTAAATTGCTTTCAACAGCATGGTTATGTGAAATTCTATGTAGAACCTGGTGGAAAAATTCTACTACCAGTCCTTCATCACCTTAGACGAAATAAGGTGAATATAGCTCATATTAGAAGATTTATTTGTGGAAAATAATTTTTCTTTTGGCGTAATTGAGAATAATATTTTTTAGAGAGGGATAAATTTGCAGACAGAGACTATTTAGCGAAAGTTAGGCAAGCTGGGACAACTTCTCATGTCCTAATTTTGCCTTCATTCCTTTTTTCTAAAAAGATAGGTGAATTAGTGAGAAAGTGGTGGATAAAAACTCAAATACAAGCTTTGTAGGAGCCTCTAGAGCTGATAAAAGGAATAAGGTTGAGTGTAGCGTCCATTATTAGACTTCTTAGCTTATCCATGAGTACCACATATTCTACCTTTGATGGTAAGTTATACGGAAAAACACAAGGACTAGCGATGGGATCTTGCCTGGCTCCCATCTTGGCGAATCATTATATGGCAAGACTGGAGGAACACTTCCTGCAAGAGGCAATACTAACTTTTAAATTGTTGGTTAGATACATGGATGACTATTTTATCATCTGGCCTCATGGTAAAGAAAGTTTAAATAGTTTCCTACTTTTAATCAACCACTGTGAAAGTAACATTATGTTCACAATAAAAATTGAAGAGAATAAGTCCTTAACCTTTATGGACGTTCTCATAGTTAGAGAAGAGGGTAAGTTAGGAAGCGATCTTTATAAGAAGTCAACATATATTGGCTCTGCTTAATTTTCTTTCCAACTATAGTTACAAGACTAAGGTTAGAATTTTGAATTCAATGATTACCAGAAGTATGAGGCTAGCGGATAGCAAACATTTGACTAGAGAGTTGGAACGACTGACAAATTTATTCCTGTAAAATAATTATCCTTTGGGCCTTATTGAGAATAACATCTCATTACTGAGGATTAAATTTTCAGGCGGAGACCATTTAGTCAAACATAGACATGTTGTGACCTATATCCCAATTTTGCCGTTATGCCTTATTCCAAAAAAGATAAGTGGATTGGTAAAAAAGGGGGGGATAAAATTAGTGTTCAAAGAAACCATCATACTTTCTTCTGTTATGCCATCTTTTAGAGAGAAACATGACCCATTACCGAGATCCGGCAGCTCCAGGATTGTTTGCTCATGTAGTCGATGTTATGTTAGTGAGATATGCTGACCTATTCGACAAAGATTGGAGGAACACAAAAAAGTTTGTCAACGAAGCTGTGTCTAACGCTCAGAAGTGGCCTAACACATGTTAGAAACTGGGCATGAGATGGAATGGTCTCAAGCTAGTAGGTTTGCTGATTATGGTATGTATGTTGTTAAAAGAAAGATAAGAGAGGCTATTGAAATTAATAGCTTAGGAAATACATTGAATGTGAGTCAAGGTTGTAGAAAGTTGAGTGTGAACTACTAATGCTTAATTGATAGATTGAAGGGGCGAGAGGGCATTAAGCCGCAATCGAAAAGAAGGCGAGTCAACTGGTCTGCTCAGTGATGGATCTAACTTCATTCTTACTCATCAAACATGTAAGATTAGGCTCATCAACCAAACCAGACATGACAGATCACACAGCCTTAGTGGTTCCTTTCTTCATGTGGTTAAGTGTTAATGACCCTAGATTGAGAGGTTAGGACAAGTGGCATTGCAACTTGACTTACCTGCTTACAAATTTACATCTCATTATCTCAACCATAATTGCTTACGGACATACGCAGTCTCGGTCAGGGCTTTTTCTTGGTTCAGTAAGCTATGATGATCAGAGCCTGACATTAGCCTTTTAATCACTCTCATTTAGGACCTGTATTTCGTACAGACGCTAATACACACACACACACAAGAACACATTCGAGCAAAAGTAACAGGACCAGTAGGAAAGATAATTATATAAACCAGTCTATATCTATCTAGGTTTTTAATTTTCCTTTGCATACTTTAATCTATATAAGAGGAAAGATAGAGCCGGATAGTCTTCTTGCTTTAGTATTAACGTGAGACTTTTACAAAAATGAGACCCAGCTCTGATGATGTCCATCATGTGATGTTGTTGGGGAGACTTTCATTTCGTAAGAAAGTACATGAAGAAGAGATTCGTAGGTCGATCTTACCAAAAGAGGACGGATAAATCCCGTTGTACTGCAGCCGTTTGGCTTTTAGATGATGATCAGGTTGACGCAATCCACGAGTCTTCCTCCCTCGTTTCGGGTGAAAACGGGCTGAGTTTTCATCCATTATATGATGAACATCATCAAAGCTGGGTCTCATTCCTGTAAAAGTCTCACGTTAATACTAGGACAAGAAGATTATCTGGCTCTATGTTACCTTTTCTCTAAACTCAGTTAAGCCAGCAACATGCGTGTGTGTGTGTGTTAGCGTCTATACGCAGTACCAATCCTAAATCAGGGTTAACAAAAGGATAATGTCAGGCTGTGATAATCAAGGCCTAATTACCCAAGAGAAAGCCCTGACCAAGACCGCATAAGTCCATAAGCAAGTATGGTTGAGATAATGTGATATTAGCTTGTAAGCAGGTAAGTCAAGTTACGACGCCACTCGTCCTAACCTCTCAATCTAGGGTCATTAATACTTAATCACATTAAGTAAAGAACCCCTAAGGCTGCGTGATCTGGCATGTCAGGTTTAGTTGATGAGCTTAATCTAACATGCTGGACGAGTAAGAATGAAGTTAGAACCATCATTGAGCAGACCAGTTGAGTCGCCTTCTTTTCGTTTGAGGCTCAGCACCCTATCTATCCTCTGATCTATCAATCAATTATAAATAATTCCTAGTCAACTTCCTACCACCGTTCCTTGCATTCAACGTATTTCCTAAGCTATCATTCCAATAGCCGCTCTTATCTTTCTTTTAACCGCAGACGTACCATACTCAGTAAAACTACTAGTTTGAGACCATTCGATTTCATTTTCAATTTTTACCATGTTTTCGGCCAATTCTAAGGTAGGATGGAGTCGGATAGTCTTCTTGACCTGGAGCTAACGTGAGACTTTTACAAGAATGAGTTCCAGTCCTGATGATTTCCATCAAATGATGAACAAAAGTTCAGCCAGTTTTCACCCGAAACAAAGGAGAATGTCTAGTGGACTGCGTCAAACTGAATACCATATTGAATCAAAACGGATGCATACAAGGAGAATCGGCCATCGTGTCCTGGCAAGATCGACCTAAGAATCCATTTTTCATGCACTTTCATACGAAATGAAAAACTTCCCAATAAGGTCTTGTGTTCATGTGGTAACGACTATGTGGTGGAGATCTGCCGATCCATACATAAGAGATAATCTGAAAATAGAACTGCTTGCATAGGGTTGTGGGTCCAAAAATAAGAACTGGTCAAAAATAGCCCCCCTATGACACCAGATATACTGGTCTTAAGCCAAATAATGGATATGGAGACAAGATCAGTAAGCGGAAGATTTGCCAATACGTAGAAATCAACACCATGAATAAAAGAAAGGTGTAGGAAATTAAGAGGAAACTACTTGTCGCGACTAGATAGGCTAAGAGAGAGAAAAAGGAGTACTGCCGAGTAACAGGAGGCTTGATTAGCTTTAAGTCAGTTGCTCGCTTCCCAATCTCTCACGTCTCACGTCTCATGCACACATCACACACGCAAAAGAACTCAAGCACTCGCCTCGAAAGTGCAGGGCCAATAATATAAGTGATTTATAGATGGATGTAGATGTTCGATCACAAGTGCATCCATTTCATGCTCCATTTGCAGTCACTTCACTTTTAAGCATACATATAGGTAAGGCATAATGTATCCAACAAAATCATGAGACGTCTCATTAATTGGAAAAAGTTGGGTTAGAAGATGCAGGTAGGATTACAACCAGCTAGCTTTCTTGTAACTGTACTTGATGAATTAATGTTAGCAAGGTGTTCTGTTCTGACGATGTTCGTCACGTGACGGATGAAAGTTCTGCAAGGATTCATAGGGGTCTCGGAAAATTGAGCCGATGACTTATTTGCACAAATCTACAGTCACAGCTCCATGGCGACCTCTCCTTTTCTTTTGGTGAGGTCAAATTATTTTCAATAGCCTTTTCAAATAAAATGAAATGTACTCTAACACAACTTATATGGCATCCCTGACATTATCTAGCAGCAATGAGTAAAAAAAATCAGAAAACCAGATTCTAACAGAAGCGTTAATCGACTAAACTTGCACCATGTTCATTACAAGAGAAAGTTAATGAGCATAGACCATCTCTAGACAAAATTATAAGCTCCTAAGTAGAAATGACTAAAGAAATTTTTGTCTAAGGGCTTAAAAAGACAATTTAATATGGTGTATAACTTGAAGTATGAGGATAAGTAACTTAGTGAGTTAGATCTCTTCTAAAGACAAATGTATTAAAAAGTGATGCTCACTAAGTGAGAGTGAGAGAGTTTTTATATTTTAATTATTCAATTAGGCCACGAGTGGCTAAATATAAATACTAACCTCCACTTGCTCTTTCTGCTTTTGCATTAATTCTATACAGACCTCAGGGCCAAGCTCCTGCAACAGAGAAAGTCCAGATTCAGCTATGGTATCAGTAGTCTCGTCCTCGTCTTGATTTTCGTCTTCATCTTCCTCTTCGTATGCGCTCTCTTCACACTTATTTAAATCGGAGTTTCCAACGAAAGTCGTCTGTTTTTCTGATGCCTTGCTTTCTAATGATGCCATGGGTTTTTCTATAATCGACGCCGAATATTGAGGACGCAAAGTCTCAGCTTTCGATGTCATACCCGCAGCATTGGTTGAGATTACCTGATGTAGAGATTTAGCTACAGATCCTGCAGCCTGTCTGGCTTTCTTGATACGTGCGGCCACCGTCAATCCTCTCGTTGCCACCGCAAATTTGCTTCCACGTTCAGGTGCATTGTTACGACTACCCGACAAGGCCGACAGCCTCTCAGAAACGACGAATAGACGTCGCCGCTGTGAAGCAGTCGCTGAAGTGCTAGGGCCAGTAGTTACTACAGCGCTGCTGATAGTTTTGCTTGGAGTATGTGAAAATGAGTTAGCGGGTTCGTTGGCGCAGAAATTTGGTCCGGTTTTGATACCAAATTTCCCTTTCGAATCTACCACAGCCTCCGAAGCATCGACTGAGTATTGAACACGTATTTGCTCATCATGTCCCTCTTTAGCCTTCGATGCTGATTTTTTCCGTCGTCGTACGCTTTTCGCCAACCGTTTGGTCTCGACAGTGCAATCACCAGATGCCGGCAGATCAATGGGTTGCGGCAATCCTGCTATTTGGTGACTGAACTGCAACCAAATAGTATCTGCCTTCTCCAACTGGTCGGCCCAACTGACAACGGAAGGTATTAAGGCTTGCCGAATGCGCTGTACCAAATGCACGGCAATTAGGTCATAGCGGGTGGATAGTGTAGCTCGGAGCCGATGATAAGCAGTTACCTGATCTGGGCCGGGGCATGCCAGGCCAATTGGACCTATGATGAATTGACCCGCCTCGGCATCAAGGAGTTTGAGCAGGCGGCGCAACTGAATGCAATGACTCTGTGATAATATGAGAGGGATATTAAGAAGTTTATTTGCTCAGCGGACCTATATAGTGAAGAGACGAACAGGGTTATGAGAATGCTAATGGGATATTTAGAGAATGAAGAAGTTTTTAATATGTTTGCTTGAGAGATAAAACATTATTCAAATCAGCGAATAGTAAATCCTGGCTAATCCAGCCCCTCATATAAGATACTGATTTTATTTGCTATTTAGTAAATGAAATAATTTTTGAATGTACACATGCTACGGTGTGGGAAATATTGAATTTGTGAAGTATACATTTTATCTTATGAGATTTAGCATTATATAAGTTATATCTTTTGGAATTCAAATTTAAGAACATATCAAATAAGAAATTTTATCTCTTCACGACAAAGCGAAAAAAACGCTTAATATTATAAATGAATTTATCTGTAATATATATGTTAAATGTGCTCTTATTCACAATGGATCTCGTAAAAGGGTAATAGGCATCCACAATTGGATTTGAGATTAAAATATGCCAGAATAGGCATCTTAGAAGAAAATCAGGTTCTTCCTGACAAAGACTTCGTAATTGTGTCAGTATTTGACTCAGGCAAGATTAAAGATGGTGAGCAAATTGTTGTTTAAAGTACAGAGATCAGGCGAAGTTCAAATGAGTTTTGCTTGAAATAAAATTGATGTGGCGATATTCATTGCGTGTGAAAGAGTCAATCTCGATAAAAGGTAAAAGCTGATTCCCGTTGCTTCGTACTTTTGATATTATTATTTATTTTAGATTGCCGTAGTCCGCAAGGCACCCATTTATGCTTCCGGTTTTAATGGGATAAGCTTTCGTTTGTCATACGAGATACTTCTTTGGAGCTGGATTTTAATTTTCATAGAAACGCAAGGCTATCATTAGACTAAGCGCTCGCTAGAAGATTCAGGTTGTTGAATAAATGGCTTGAAGAGCTTTTTCATACAGAAGATGATAATAAATGAAGCCTCCTTAAGCATTCTTTCAAATCAATCTTTGCATATCGACATCCGGCTATAAAGATTCACTTCTCATAAGCTATTTATACAACCGAATACTGCGCACAAAACGTTATTTGTCTTAAAGAGTTAAAGGAAATATTTTAATTTTGCCTAGCAACATGTCCATATTGTCAGGACGACCTGAGGGAACATACCTTGTTCAAAATCCATAATATGCATGTAAATTTCCAGTCGGATCGTAGACTTGGTACGTTCCCAGACGTTTTGCTGGCACCGTAGCCGGTATAGTCAGTGAGCTTTGCCAGTCTTAGCATCACACCACAACTCGTTAAAGAGACCAGTAAAGTTAATCCTTTGACCAATTGTCTGCTCAACAGTTGTTGTATCTTTCATTCTGTCCTGTAATATTCACCTTTCCTATATTTTTGTATCATCCCTTCACTAACACAATTGCTTACTTAAACTTAGTTCTAGTGTGCCATTTTGGGCGAATTTAGTGAGACCTATTCAAATTCCTCGCTGGCTGCCTCATCCCTCTACTAGAATTGTTGATCTATGTCTATCCTTTTATTTCGCAATCATCTTTCTCCAGGTGCCATTAGATTTTTCCTTTTGCTCCGTAGGATCCGTCTCTTATCTGCCTGGTTCAGTGAATTCACACGATCGTTGCCACCGTATTAAGGCTACTCAAGGCGTTATGTTCTACACTCTGTCTCAAGCCTTTGATAGCACGTATACGTCAGCTTCACTGAGAAAGCCTCTAAATTCTATATTCTCAAGTTTCATGGAAACATAACGTGATGTTGCAGATTTTCTTATAATTATTCGGCATATGTGCTGCGTAAATCTCGTGGCCGAGGCTTAACTTCACGGACCATGTCTATGCTCAAACTTATCTACTATAGCCAACTATCTATGTTCTCTGCCAAATCTCTTGATCTTATATCCATAATGCCAAGTCTATGACTTTTCTATGTCCTAGTTTCTTGTGTCCCAAATCCCAAATTTTAGAGCTATTCAACTCTCTGCAATTAGGCTCACTATAGGTGCGTCGTCTTGGTCTCCGATTGTTTCTTTGTGATCTTCTTGCGATTTATTTTTCTCAAATTGAAAATATGTCCTTGATCTGGTCGCCTTCTTTTGGCTGATATCGAAATTCCCTGATCTTTACCGAGTTTGCTTAGACAATATGCAAAGCCTTCACTAATACTGTCTTCTTCAAGTCTCCCGTTCATAAGATTTATTCGGGTCAGCATATCGATGGTCTCGCGTATCCTACTTTTTCTTGTATTTTAATCATATTCAACTAACCTTTCTGTCGATGTTTAGTTGATTTTATGTCTCGTCCGTGCATGTGTGTTCCACTATTTCGAATCTTTCCATATCCATGCTTCTGCAGAGTCTTTCTTGACTTGTAGGCTTATTTTTATTCCTGTTTCACCAACATACCCCTGATCACAGTCGCTGTAATTGATGCGATAAACTCCAGAGCCTTCCAGTTTCCAAGCACCCTCGTGCTTCGTCGGCCGACTGGGGAAGAGCTTGATATTCCATTCTCGTAATAACCTTCGCGAATTTTGACTCAGTTCACAGGAGGGCTGTCATATCCACCCTTGGTCGTTCTCCCTATTCCTGATTTTATTTTCGTAATATACAAATTGATATCTACT